TTAATAAAACAAAATAAAAAAGAATACAATACAGATTTTGTTAAGCTTACCATTCAAGTTTCTCAAATTGGTCAAATGTCTTTCAATATGACAGCAGAAAGTATCAAGACTGTTTTTAATTTTTTAACAAGAGATAACACAGAGTTATGGCTTAGTGTAAATACTGTTAGTCATTGGCATCATGAAGTATCAGAGTTGAATGTAAGGAATGCATTTTAGCAAGCCAATAGGTCGACTCATTTTGTTTTCAGAATCATGACAGATGAATCAGGTCACGATGAAAAAAAAATATTAATAGAATGTTTTATGTTTTGAAATTCTGAAAAAAATATACCTGACATCGTACTCTTAGAAACAAAGAATCTTCAATAGTGCAATTCTGATACAGTTAGTCAAGCTCTTTTTAAATCTTGTATAAAATATAAACTTGATACTTCATGGTATCTTATCTTTCTTTCAGATAATACAAATTATATAAGTGGTCATGTCAGAGGTGTTGTAACAAAATTTAACCAATTAGACCAAAGTCATTGTGTTCGAATTCCCTATGGATTACACATGTTGCATTTGATTTTGAATAATTTCAAAGAGACAGCCTTTGGTAGGCTTTAAACAAATACCAGGTTTTCAAAGACACATCATTCATTTAATCTTCTTTATCTGACATGAATGTTGCATAATAGATATGACCAAAGTGATAAGGATTCGTCACTAAATATAAGAAGTGAAACAATTCAAAGTCTTTATAAGGCATGGCTTAATTATGAGTTAACTAAATATCAATATCCCCTATAGTCATGATGGCAATATGAATTAATTATGGCAGAACAATACCTTGAGAGACATGAAATTCATATCGAATTCATTTCATAGTTTCTTCCAAAACTTAAAACTTTAAAAAAAGTTCCAAAATCTTATATTCAAAAGTGGTAACTATTTCAAGATTGGCTAAACGATTTCGAATTAAATATTAAGGTTCAATGTTTAATTAAATTTAGACAAGAATTTTACTGTCCGTTTTCAGAATTTCTTGTCAGTTACAATCCTCAATTAAAGGTTTTGCAGCCTGATAATTCATTACAATGCTTGCCTCCAGATCGTCATGTATATCAAATGCCAGATTTCATCACTAATTCAACATGTAAGCTCGTAAACATCATGGAAAATCTTTATTTATTTTTTGGTAACGAACTTTTGCAAAGTGCAGAAATTTTGGATGATTCAAAAATTGAATCGTTAGTTCAAAAATTGGAAACTGGAGTACAGAAAGGGCTTGAACTACACCAAAAATAATTAACTTGCTGGCTCTATCTTCCTTTAAGTATGTGTCATCTTGACAGAGATTATGCACAACAATTTGTGTACAGTTATTGGCACATCATGCTTGAAAAACCCTGGCCCAGGTTTCCTACTTTAAAAGAAATTAGTTATGCATGATTTCTTGAAACAGACATAAAACAAAACCAGTTTGATAATTTTGGGTTTAAAGCTGCCCTATCTAATAAATTCTTTTTTCAAAAATTCAATGTATTTGTTAGAGAATCAAATGCTTACCTATATCAATATCCACAGCTCTATGATTTTGTTAAAAACAAAATCTGATATATTATCATTCATCAACAACAGATAGAAGGCTTATTTAACAAATGGGACTTAAAAACTCATTTAAATATGACTAATAACACTTAACAGTCCAGAATGCATCTTTCAGTAACTGGAATAAAAGAATATCAATTTGATCATAAACAACTAAAAGAAATTCGAAATAAAAATAAAATCATCTACAAACAAAATTTTATTACTTTTCTTTTTCAATCAGATAGACAAAATGAGCAGATTGCTAATGATCTTTTTAAGAAATTATTTATACACTGCTAATTTTCTAAAATAATTTTTTATAATGTACATTAATATCAATGTAAATATTTATAATTATAAAGTCAATACTTCTACTTCTCAATCCATGTAAATCAGTGTTCTTTTAACAAGGTTTAATTAAAATTAAATCACAGTTATAAATAAGTGGACTCAAATAAAATTTGAAGACTGAGAGAATTCAGACTTTAATAAAAGCTTTGACCTTCGTCAGTAGTTTGCCTTTCGCTGGAGATTTTGACTTTCACTAAAGGTTCGTCTTTTGTCAGGTTTTGCAACAAAATTTATTTTATAACAGCAATAATCAATTTAATCTGAAAAATTTCTTTGTTATACACAGACCTTGCAATCCTATTCGATAAGTAATAAGAGACACACTGCGCACAATTTTTATTGACTAAATAGCAATGGTATTATTGAAAAAATCTGTACTATCAATTTTTACTATTATACCTATTGTTGTTAGGTGAAACTATTTTTGATAAATGGCGAAAGTCAAAACTAAACCCAGCAAAAGTTGAAACTGGCGAAACTTCAGCAAAACATCAAAACTCTGGTAAAACATCAAAACTCTGGTAAAACATCAAAACTCTGGTAAAACGTTGAAACTCTGATAAAACCTCCAGTAAAGCCAAAACCATTAGAAAAAGTTAAACACAGTGAAGATCAAATCCTCTAAGATTTTGGAAAGACTGTGCCATGTTGGTAAATCAAAATCTTTTGCATATGGATATTCTCTAATGAAAGGCAAAACCTATAGTGAAAGGCGAAACCCATTGTGAAAGCCGAAACTCCAGCAAAAGGCAATCTCCTGATAAATCGTTTCTCATAGGCTATTCAGCATACCATCTTAGAGGTTCATTTTTATATTGATTTTTTATTATATTGATAGTTGTTTGTGCAAATGTACTTTTTTATAAAATATAATTGATTAATGTTTTATGATATATTTAAGAATTTATTCAAATTGTACATAATATTTTATCAATATTGCTAACTATTACAACTGCAAAAACGATTATAGTAGTATGAAATAAACAATTAGAATAGTTAGAATATATAAGAATTATATTACTATAATATGTATAGAGAAGCCCCATACAAATTAGGAAAAATCAAGTTGCATTTCGATATAGATTTATACATGTCGTCAGGAATTAATGCTAATAAAGTTGTGGCTATCAATTTAGATTATGGCTTATATTTTAGATTTCAGCTTTTGTTTCAAATTGTACCTTTATTTATATTTGTCTAAATATTTTCAACACAGACACAACTAGTTTATACAGCATGTATAATAAAGATGATAAAGTCCTATACTGATACACAATTCCTAATTACATAACTATAACTTATAAAATAATACAATAAGAAATAAGTAATTATATAAAAAAAGCAATACCCAATTAAAAACTTGTATTTGTACAGAAACACTTAACTTGCCACTTAGCCATACACTTCATTCCTGGTATAAATTAATTCAGTGCTTAAAAATCTCTGTTTTCTTTTAGTAAAATATTTAAAAAATCTACTATATATTATATAGTTAAGATTTTTTTTCTTTAGCATTTCATCGTTAACATTTTAATTAAATACTATACATATGTAAGTAATTTGTTAACATTATTATTGCTAATTATTTTCCAATACTTTATTCTATCTGGTTTTAAACCTTAGAGTTAATTTTAAGAAAATAATTTGTTGTATGTCTTGATTTATAATAAATCAAATATAGTAAAATTTACAAAATCATCATACATGTTGTATGTCGGAAACAAATTATTATATTTTTAGAATGCATCTAGGTTAATTCATAATAAGTATAAGTTATAATAAAATTCTAAAATGTGTCAAAATTGTTAAAGAATTCAATTTAACTTACAACAAAATTAAATAAATTTCAAATTAATTGATAGCTCATTAACAAAGTGACAAAGCATTTATTATTGTGAGATTAGATAATTTTATTGCAGATCTGATCTATGTTTTTGTTTTTGTTATGTCCTGTTTTGGATTAGTTTAATGTTTTTTACTTAGAGTTCTGGTTAGATGCAGATTTATAGTGATATTAGCATTATGATTGTATATGATTAATTATTATTTATATTGTTATGAATATTAGTAAAGGAGTAATAATTATCAGACCCAGGGGTTTTAAAACAAGAAATGCGTATATGAATTGTAAGGGAAGGAAAAGGCATTATAAAGATGATGGTTTAAGAAATAATAGGCATCTTATGTTTTACTATCACTTACTTTAGAAAAGGCTGGCTTATTTATCCCACCTGTTTCCCCTAATAGTAGTCAGCTCAGCAGCTAGGCATAATGCAACAATTACAGAATTGGGTTTTAGTTGCTATAGAAATGAGGGCTCTATGGTTGCTTTAGTAGTGCAAGAATTTTCAAGTTGTTTTTTGGCTCCACAGCTATGATTACAATGCAAGAATCTTTAAAGTTATTTTTGACTCCTTAGTTGTAAGAACAGTGCAAGAACCTTCAAGTTGTTTTTGGCTCCACAGCTGTAATAACAGTGCAAGAACTACAAGAAAACTTATAACTATGTGCAGGAATGCATACATCATTTAGCAACTCGATTCTTTTTTTAGCTATGCAAATACTATTAATTACTTTGAAATGTTGTTTAGCATTGTTTTGGGAGATAATTTGTTGTGTGGGATAGTTTTAGTCTGGAGCGTCAGAATTAGAGATGCAGGCGGAACTTAAAGTATTAGGATTTGCTGTAATATAACTGAGTTATAACTAGTTATAACCTTTTGCTTTAAGTTATAGCATATTGTAATATGCATGTGTGTTGTAATTCAACTTTATATGTCAAAACTTGCAGTAATTTGTTATAAATTATTATATCAACATAGTCTTTTTTTAGACTAATTAGACAGAGTATTTTCTTCTTCGAATGAGTATTTTGACTATCAACTTCTTGAGATGTAATATTTTTATTATGCTCTTGAAGTGGTTTTAATAATTGTCAGAAGTAGAATGCTAACATGTAAGAAGTTTGATGTTATAGATAATGAAAAGCTATTATTATTTAGAACTGAATTATTATTAATTAGAGAATCTAGTTCTTATATAATTATTTATTGTAATTAGGGATGTGCAATGTAATTTTTTATGTAATCGATATGTATTTTTTAGGCCTTACATATTTTATGAATTATTACATATTATTACAT